TTTCCCTTATATCTCATGCACTACACAACTTCCTCGTCTTTTTCTTACTCACACGAGCAGGCGAGTAGGCGGGCGGGTAGGCGGGCGGGCATTTAAAAACATATCAACTATTTTCACCGATATTTCTCATCAATCGAAAAACTTTATTTTTTTAATTTGGTCAATTTATTTGACCAAATACTTAACATTAATTAATTCGGTCAATTATCTTAACCGAACTAAAGGTTCTAGAAAAAAAAACCCTAGCAATTATCTTGTTTTTTGAATTTTTCACTATATTTAATTCGGTCATACTTTTTGACTGGATTAATTCCATAAAAATTTTTGGCACCCCACCTTGCTTTTTGAATTTTTTGGGGAAAAATATTTGAATTTTCTACTCTTTTATTTCGTCAGTCATACTGACCGAAATACATCATATAAATACCACCCAGACTTTTTTTATTCTGCATTTTCACTTTGCTTTCTTGTCCTTAGCCGCTTCTCTTCCACTTCTCTTCCACTTCTCTTCAAATATTTCTTTCTTCTTCAACCTCAATATTTTTCTTTTGTTTTTATTTATTATCTTTAGTTTTTTTTTTTCATAATTATGTTTCATTATGTAACATTTTCTTTGTGTTATATAATCTTAATTGTGTATTAATGGTTTAAATTTTGATCATTTTCAGGTCTCTTAAAGTTGGTGAAGATGATAAGGGTAGCAATTTATAGGTAATTTTATTAAGTTATTCAATATTTATCCTCACATTTTTATTTGTTTTATAGTTAGTTAATCTTTTGCATATTTTCATTTAATTTATATGTTTGGAATTATTTATACTTATTATATATATAAATTTACTTATTTTCGCGTATTTAAGTTGGATTTATTGCTATTTATCCTTAAATATGTGTAGTATTTTCAGATTCTTCTCATCATTTTTTTACATTTCTAGAAATAAAATTATAATTGTAATTTAAATTTATAAATTATAATTAAATTAAATAAATAGGAACTAGAAATAATTGAGGATGTCAAATTTTAATTCCAAATTTTATTGCTATATTATCATCCAGATTAAAATTTGTTAAATAAATTTTTTTGTTAATCTGTATTTTTAGTTTGGTCAAGAAGCTTGACCGAAATAATATGTGATATTTTATTGCGTGATGTACAATTATTTTGATTATTTCACTTGACCGAACTATTTCCACCAATATCCTCTTTATATTTCGGATAGTTATTTTGACCAAACTATTATGTGTTAATTGCCAAAAATACCCCTAGCCATTAATTTGGTCATGTATTTGTACCGAAATAGGATAACTGGAAACCAGTCATCCATGACCATTTCGGTCATTACACTTGACCGAAACTTGTAATAAAATTTTAGTTTAATAGTTTGGTTAAATATTTTGACCGAATCTAAGGTTTTTTTAATGATTTATTACACCATATTTCGGTCAATCATCTTAACTAAAGTAATGAATTATTTCTATAAAGACAAAATTTCATCCGAATTGTATTTCGGTCAGAGCTTATTCGGTCCAACAATTCAGTTAAGCACCTTGATCGAATTGCATCTATTTTGGTCAAAATATGGAGTGTTTCAGTTACGCTAGTTGACTGAACTTCTTGATTTTTCTAGTAGTGCGGGATAAAAAAAATTGATTTTATGAAGGTTAAAAAAGGAGGAAAAAATTGTCTACCATGATTAAAATTTGTGAAAATTAAAAATTTGTTATAATGTAAACAAAATAAAATAAAATAAGAAGTCAAATGTTTTTTCTTCTAAAAAAAGTGAAAAGAAAATACGAAAATATTTATTTCATTAATCTAATATTCTAGTAAAGAATAAATTTTAGGTACTTCGATAAAGCCAAAAAGAAATTTAAAGCAAAAAGGGGTCAAAAGGTGGACCTTTTCCAAAATATTATTTCTTTTTGATTTTTTATTTTACTTTTCTTTGAAGGGAATTAAAGATTCTTAGTCAACAACTAGTCACTAGCCCAACGTTATCCTCGCTAGATGACTATGAATTGTTAAAAATGCCCTTGATAATATCTCCCTTAACCGATTTAGTTAGCCTTTAAAAGGGAGCCCAATTTTGAAATTCAATTAGCTATCTGTCCCCACCAGAGAAATGCACAAAAGTCGTAGTGCTTGACCATTTTCTTCTCATATTCCACCTGTCATTGTTGCTTTTGATTTGGTGACTCATGGCTCATGCAACAGAGGCGTCGACGAGTAGAGTGGTGGAATTCGTTGCTAATACGATTCCATCATGACCGCCCTCACCACTTGCATTTGTTCCATCGTCTTCTTAGGACATTGGAAACCACAGTAGTAATACTGCATCTAGAAAGGGAAAAGAGATTCAATTGGTTCCATCATCTTATAAGGATGCTAAAAGCCACGGCAAGAATGAAGCAATGAGGAAGAGGAATGAGGTGACCATTCCGTTGACGTTACATAAATCCGTTGTCAAACGCAGTGACTCTGCACATGATGACCTTTCTTTTACAGAGCTTCTACTACGAAACTACAAGAATTTCACTCGTAGCGTAGCTCCATCGAGGTAAATGTACTATGAGAATGGTGATTGGCTCGATTTCTTGAGTGAAGTTATAGACCAACTTCGTCCAATGTATATTGACCAAAGGGCGATGGTGGAGATGTTGATTGATGGATCAAAATATTTGTTCGATTTCAGAAGGATGCTCCAAATCGATTCCGAGACTGAAAATTACTGGTCAATCTCATGGATCAAGATGAATATGGCAAGTATTTTTTTCCTTAAAGTGTCTATTGGAAAAGAGGGAGAGAATACAGAACTAGAGAATAATAAATATATTGAGAGTTATGTTAATGCTAATGCTAGTATTACTCATAAGGTTGATCTCATTGTCGAGCTTGATGATAGTTCGCTGAAGCGAAAGAGAGCAGAATTTGAAGCATTTCCTCCAAATCCAATTATGGCATTTCCAACTCCTCCAGTTGTTGCTCCTCTAATATTCCTGAGGATGTGCTAAGAGGCCCATGATTGGTGGAAGTTTTTAGGTGGCCAAAGACGATGATATTAAGAGAAGGCGATAAAAAGCATCGGCTCATCAGGGATTACTTCTTGTCAAGGATAAGAAAACTTGACCCTACTGTTAAAGTTACTGCCATTTACAAATGCACTCATGAGGGGAATTTGGAGAAGGCTTGTTATGGTCTTTTTCATAAACAAGTTAACCTCAATAGGGCTATTCGAGGTGTTGATGCTGCAAGAACAATTCACACCTAGTATAGGGCTTCCAGAAGCAAAGTGGCTACTATATTGGCCAAGGTTCCTATAGCTGATGTTTATGGTGTCGATGTCTATCTGTCTCTTGTAAGATTGGCACAACTGAGGTAATTAATTATACGCTTTTAGTGAATTTTCAGTGTAACACTTGTTGGTTAATGATTCTCCTAGTTCTTAACCTTTGAATTATATATTTCATGCTAACCTAATGAAGGCAGATGAAAATGGCAAAAAAAATGTTGTTCTTTGCCAACTTTTATTGAGAAATGTGGAAAAAGTGCCATTCGGGTCTCAACAGGATCAACCTTCTAGGATGGAGTATGACATAGGTTCAGATGATCCTAATAGTCCATCTTGGTATGTGATGTGGCCTTGTAATATGAATAAGCACATTCTTCTTGAATTTGTCGTGAGTTATCAACCCACTGTTAATGTGAAAGGTATATTTTGTTTTCCTTTTTCTGAATCTTTATTTTGTAGCTTCACGTATCCATATCCCATTTCTGAGTTTTGTTGATTAGGTAAATCTAAAGTAGACCCAGGCTAGGATGCAATGCTTTCTAAGATTCAAGATTCTTTACCTCCTGCCCAATTTCAAAAAGTTTTGCATTTATACAAGATATACCGAGTAAGTACTAAGCTGACAGTGATCCCATTTTATGAATATATTTTTCCTCATTGTTTCTATTGGGTGCCATTTAAGAACTATAAAACATGTGTTTTGTGACATACCTTATGACTAATTACAGGTTGGGACCCACAAGCGGGTAGATGAGTTGGTAAGGGACTCTTCCAGCTTAATTAGAGGTATTGATTTCAAGGCCTAAAAATGCAGCTCCGTTAAAATTCATGAAGGAAAGTTTTGTCGCCCATTGGGTCCTGTCCGGTTCTAATCCGAATTAGTCGGTGACCCAGTAAACTTCCAAATACTGGGTGATCAAACCAAAAAAAATTACAGGCTGGGTTTTTCACCAAAGATGCTTTCATAAAGCGGCTCCAAGTCATTGTTGGAGATAATATCCTATAGACAATTCTGCAAGGGGACAACGCATTAGGATGACTTGGAAGAATTAGGTTAAGTTTTACTTAGCCAATCAAATTGATAGATCTTATTCTAATGTAATGTTACATTTCAACTAGGAGTAGTACAAAACACCTAAACGTACAGTAACAGGAAACAAAATAAAACTATTTCTTAGGTATTTTTCGTCCATTTCTTTAGCTTATAATTTTACCTGCCATTACCATTCTTCAAAAGATTGGGGGAAAAAAATGTAATTTTCAGTTAGTGATTTTGTTTTAGCTACCAGCCTTTGTTCTGAGTATCCTTTACACTTTTGAAATGAGAATAAACCTGTAATGATCAAAGTGAACGCAATTCTGCTTTCCTGTTTGTGTTTAATGTTGTTGTTATTGTTTTCTTTTATTCATTTACTTATTTATTTTGAGGGGGGGTGTGAGGGGGTGGGGTTGGGGTAGGGTGTTTGCGGAATTATTGCAAATATGGTTCTTAGTTATGGCGAAGTATTCAATTGCTACTTCATAGTAGCTAAGCATGAGTGCCAAATAGTTGAAGTGCCTGAATGTCAAATGCACGGAACATAGTTGCAATTGACGCTCTTAACGTGCTTATGATACAAGGTTCTAAAGCAACCATATGTGGATAATGTTTATTTATCCCTCCTGTCCTTTCCCATTTACGCTTGAAGTCGTGAAAAATAAATGTGCTATAATTATTTAAAGAGGAATAGAATGATCGGAGTCTTTCAGCTATCGACTCTTCCCTGATATTCATCTTCTTTAATCACTTCTACATGTGGATAATGTTTATTGTCTTTGCTGTTCTTTCCCATTTGTGCATGAAGGTGTCAAAAATTAATGTGTTATACTTGTTGATTCTCACGTTGAAAGAAATTGAAGATAGGAGTGAGCTACTGTGCTTGTTAGAAGTTAAATCCTTCATAAGGTATTTACCTTGTGCCAATTGGTAAGTCTGTTTTTAATGAAGAGTTCATTTTGGAGGTTTTCTTTTAAGCGGAAGAGGATTTTGAAAGTTGCTCAAGGCATGACATGGGATGTTGGCTATATTTCATAAAAGTTCAATTCCCGATTGGCAGCATCGTGAAAAAATCACCAGGTGTATTCGTATGCTTACCTTCAAAAAGGCGGTTTGTGTTTATATGCTTTTATATATTCAGTTTATTGTTGAGAGATAAATTACAAAAAATTTTGTTATGAATTGTTGTTGGTTTTGCTACTACTCCAATGAGATGTTGTTTTCCCAAGTCAATGAGGTTTGTTTATTATTAAAATTTTATTACATTGTACATGGAAAATGTTGGGAGATAAATTATGAAATTTTTTTGTTGTTGTTGTTATTCTAAATGAAAGATGATTCATGACCTTGCTACAATGAGAAGCTGTTTTCCCAAGTTAATGAGATTTGTTCATCGTTAAAATTTTAATCCATTGTACATGAAAAATGTTGGGAGATAAATTGTGGAAAATTTAGCAAAAATTTACCTACCTCTTATAGTGCATCAATGCTGAAAAAAATGCAAAATTCCCCATCATAGATGGAGTTCCTTTTTCTAGAAGAGAATTAGTAAAGCACCAAAGAATTGCAGTCTGCTGATCAACAGGGACCGTGAGTTGGGGCTGCAGGCAAAGGCATAAAAGAATAAAATTTTACATATATTTTTTATTACATCAGAAAAAACTGTTGGGTAGTATAAAGATTTAATTTTTTTGTCTTATCTCTAAATTAAAATTTTTAAATTAATAGAGTTTAATTCAAATAAATTATTAAGGGTAAAAATTTTACATATTTGCAAACCAATTAACAATCCATTAAGTTGAATTTGACACTAGGAAGTGGATTCATGTTCTGTCTCCTACATGTTTCACTTAATTTCTATGGTAATATTATTGCCTCTTCTCTTTGACTGGACAGCTAATGTGTTCCACTTTATCGACAGGCACAGGATTCCATGGTCAATCAGGACTCCCATGGATATTAACTGCCTCCAATCTTGGATAAGTTGATTCTACATGGATTGTCCATCTTTTCGACAAATTTTTTTGTCCCTTTTGAATCACTAAAACATGAAATGCATTTATTTAAGTCTAAAAAAAAAAATTCTTATGTCTAGAGTTCTTGTGTTTCATTCTGTACGCAATGAGGATTGATCATTACATTTCTGATTTAGAAAATGACAAAAACATGTGTAACTTTCATTACTTTTCGTTTTGACAGCTCCAAGCCTATGACCAGAGAACAGTCGTGCGCGCTAATATGAAATCATGCTCCAATTGTTATAATTCCATGCTTTGGTTATCATTTTGGTCCCCCTCAAAAGTTGGAAATGAATCCCAACTTGTGGCACCTCCTTTTCCACAACCGCATGCAACAATTGGAGGGGGAATCACTCAATCACAGATTCACACGGGTAAAGCTATATGCATCAGAAAATGACACTGCAGGAGCTGGTTGCGCCCCCCACAAAGGGACTGATTTCCAAGATTCTATTTTAGTGGTGGTTGATCTCACTCAATAGCAGTCACCAAAATGAAAGGTTTGCGTTTTAGTACTTCACTTTCTTTATTTGGGAATTAATATCTCAAATGAGATTAAGTTTATTTTTACTGCAATGCAGTCAGTTGTTATCATGAACTACTAGTTCAAGTACAACAAACCAAGTTCACCTTTTTAAATCTAGTTAAAATTTGGTAATTTATGTTATGATTTGAAGATTTGTTAAGTAACCTAAATCAAAGATTTAATATATCTCTGTCAATATTTGGGTTATATGTGGAACAGGTTCATCTTTAGATGTTTTGGAGTTACAAAATGCTCAACATGTTTATCCATCCCCTTGCATTATATAATTCTTTTAGATCCAATACCTGACCTAAAACTCTTGTTTCTTTTCACTTGTAAACCCTACTTCAGTTAAAACCTATATGTCCACTTGTATTGTTACTAATATTTTATGTTATTTAGTATTTTGAAAGGTGATCCAATAACGAAATTGACTCCATGATATGTACCAAAAATATAAAATAAAAGAAGAAATTGACTGCATGATTCCCCAAACTAAGGAATCTGACATGCCAATTAGAGAGACTGCATCCTTGACCTTGAGCATTACATGTATGCCAAAACAACACTTCTATTAACATGCGTCAATGAACAAGAACCTTTCAGGGAGAGAGAGAAAAGGAACAAAACAAAAACGCTTAATTGTATTGTTCATATTAATACTTCATGTAATTTGAATTTATTTTAGACGATAAGGTTATAATTATAATGAAAAAAATATTTTACAATTTAAACTGTAAAACATTAACCATTGAATAAGGAAGGATTTTCTTATATTGAGAGTACTTTTCTTATCATATAGTTCTTGTTTATAGTTTGAATTAATATAAATTGTAAAATAAGATACCATAATTATAATGTATCATTAAAAATATATATATAATATCACAAGGCATTTCATAATTGTATATGTAGCATTATACGACTACCATTTTCAATTTATGAAAAACGGGATTAGTCCAATTAATGAAATAATAATACTATAGATATAATATTATAAATAAAATTTAAATAAAAATGTTACCTATACACATTTATACGTTTGACTCAATGACGGCAGGTCACATATAAATGCATTTTTCTTTCCAGATCAACGGATCGATTCCAACCTCGTATAAATTTGTTCAAAAAAAAATATTAATTATACCATAATATATTGGTTATAAATTTTACATTTATTACCACGTCACGGCGCCCAAAGGCAAACGCACCACACAAGCATCAGCGATCAAGCTTAGCGCCTAAATTCTCCACTATAAATTATGAAGAGCAGCACAAAACTGCTAGCACTCGATAAGAATCCCGTCTCCTCTCCTCTATTCTCCTCCTCCCCCTTCTTTACTATCTGTCTAAATATGAACGGATGAGCAAACCTCCTTCCTTCACGAATCATCGTCCTCCTCCAAACGCCGAAACACAGATTTCGTAGTTTCTTCACAACTGACTCTCATCTCGACTCCTGCCGCTCTCTCTCAATCTCAATACTCGCATTCTCTCCCGACGTCTCGCCAGGTTTCTCACTGATTTTCAGTTTGGTTGCCGTGAAAACGGAGGAAATGAGGATGAAGGAGGAGTTTTCGCGTGATAGGAGTGACGAGGAGGCCGAAGGTGAGGAAACAACGTCGCAATTCTCCGTAGGAGTTTTGCAGCAGCAGCAGAGGAAGCTTGCTGTGGTTGGTTACGCCCTCACTTCAAAGAAGACGAAGAGCTTTTTGCAGCCGAAGCTTGAAGGTTTGGCCAGGTAGATCGTAATTCTAATTTAAATCTTAATTGATTTGTTTTACTTTCTACTTTTGTAATTGATATGTCTTCATCGTTCGAAATTATGAAGAATTCTGTTTTCTGCAAATGCTTGGCTCGGTTGAAGATTTTTTTATTTTGATTTTCCCACGAATTCTTTGAGTGGAATATACTGCTCTGCACGTCGTTTTCGATTTATGCGGTAAGAAAATGAAGGAAAGCAAAAGAGAATGATGGAATCCCGAATTTCGAATAAGTCAAATATTTTCTCTTTCTCTTGGCTATGTCTTTTGGCTAAAATGTTAAAATTTTTTGAGTACCCATAATTTGAGTCATTTTCAGTAAGCAGGAGATTTTTTATGCTGCAGGAATAAGGGGATATTATTTGTTGCAATTGATCAAAACAGGCCTCTTTCAGAACAAGGTCCTTTTGACATTGTATTGCACAAGGTTCGTTTTTTAACTTTCACAATCGGTTTTGTAACTTTGTGTTTCTAAAATCTTTTACAAACAAGATTGTCTACTTTTCTTGTAGATTGTTAACCAGATGGATTGTTAACCAGATGCTTTTCTATAACCGCGCAATAATTTAATTCTTTTTTTTTTGTCCCATTTTGTATTCTGATAACTCAACCTAGCTAATGACGTCTGTTAATATGTTCTTCTGTTTTGCTATTTTTTTTCCGATGCAGTTGACGGGAAAGGAATGGCGCCAGATTCTTGAGGTAGGTGACTTTTTTAATTGCAGCATATCTTTTTTCTTTGATTAATTTTGAATGCCATAAGATCCCTTGCAGATTATGCCACTTCTGTTCATGCTTTCCATCATCATATTTGACTGCATTTTACATGTGAGGAACCAAATTCTTCGACAAGTGATAAACAATTCTTCTTAGTGTTTAAGACTTATCACTGGCTAACATAATTTGCAGAGTACTTGATCTTTCCTTTCCCTTTAATCCTGACTTGATAGTTGGGGTCGAGGCCTTAAGCTTACCTGGCATAGTTTGCAAAGTATTTGCAAGTGAGGATATTTCAACTCCCATGGCCATCTTCCTGGCTTTTCAGGTTTTCTAAGCATTACCTGCAAGAAAGAAGTTTTTATGATTCATTTTTTTGGCCTTTTGTTTTTCCTGGATAAACATTTTGAGGGGTATGAGTTGAATAAACCACCCTCAAAAACTTTTAATAATATTTCTGAGGGGTATTAGTTGTATTAGCTATTTATCTGAGTCCACTCACACAATTCTTGAATGTATTTGCTAGTATGTCTTTCCTATTTCTTTTGACGTTATATTCAAGTACCAAATCCAAACTCCCAAACAGAATTATTAAACAAAGTGTTGGTGAAGATTGGTGGTATTGAACATCGTTACTTCTGTTGCATCCAATTTGATTCGTTAACAATGAATGCATTAATGTGTTCCCATCTTTCTTCTGTGAAAGTAATTTAATATAATATAATATACCCATGTAAGATATAGCATTATTGAAAATAAGATGACAGCTTTTGAGCCACTTCAGTCATGAACCTAGCACATCTACATGAATGCCAATGGAGTCCCGCAATAGAGTCTTAAGTCCATGATTTGTTAAAAAACTTTTTAGTAGTTCAATGTCAAAACTTAGAATTGTTGCCAGTTATTTTGTATTGACTGCTGACTTGCCAATTTAACCTAAACTACGCAAAATAAAACGTTTAGAGCTCTTGGTGCTGGAAAGTAATGACTGCTTTACAGATGTTAGTAAGTCATTATTTTTTTAGAGAATGCTCTTTCCAGAGAATCAAACATATAAAGCAACATGAGCCTTCTGTTTGGATATTTGTTTAGGAAAACATGTTTTGCTACTGATCTGTCTCTTACCCTTTTTTCATATAACAATAGGAATACCGGCATACACACCCAGAGGTCACAGTTCTTGATCCTCCAGATGCCATACAACACTTGCATAATCGACAGTCAATGCTCCAGTGCGTTGCTGATATGAATTTGTCTGACTCCTATGGTAATTTGTTGGTATTTAGTGTAGATTAATACCCACTTTTTTTTACTCACATAAATTCAGCTGTTAGGTTGGAAAATGAACTCTATGCTGATCAAAAGGAATACCAACACTTTATTGTGCAGGAAAGGTTGGTGTTCCCAAGCAATTAGTCATCAAAAGAGATGCATCATCCATTCCCGAGGCAGTTACTAAAGCTGGGCTGAGCTTGCCTATTGGTAGGTGTATGTTCTCATGTGGCTTTCTCATATGCTATGTGATTCTATAGTGTGCATTTGGTTTATGCAAGTGATTGATTGTGCATCTGGTTCTACAGTATGTTATGCCTCCATCTATTAGCTGTAGCATTCATTCAAACTGTCATTGGGGCTTAAGAATTATGAGATTACAGGTTTTACTTGATTATGTTCCAGAAACATAGCATTCTTATTCAGAGAATTATCTTTTCTTCTTTCTCCTTTTTCCTGGTATTCCCTGCTTTGGTCATTGAACTTGCCTTTGTTTCAGTTGCAAAACCATTGGTTGCTGATGGAAGTGCTAAGTCACATGAATTATCACTTGCATATGATCAATATTCTCTCCGGAAATTGGAACCTCCACTTGTGCTTCAAGAGTTTGTTAACCATGGTATGCAAATGCAGTTTTAGTATTACCTTGATGCATGAATGATTTCTATAAGCAATTCATAATTCCAGCCTTGCCCTTTGCTTCTTATTGTTGTAGGAGGTGTTCTCTTTAAGGTTTATATTGTTGGGGAAACCATAAAAGTTGTCAGACGCTTCTCTTTACCTGATATCACCAAAAGAGAGCTCTCTAGAAACGCTGGTGTTTTCCAGTTTCCACGGGTTTCCTGTGCTGCCGCTTCGGCTGATGATGCAGACTTGGATCCCAGCGTTGGTGGTGAGTTATTCCATCTCAGAATGCTATCTCTTCTTAGTTTCTTTAAAGAAGTTGTCATTAGGTGGTGGGTTGGGTTAATTAACTATGTTGAGATTTTTGAAAAGTTGTTTTAACCATGACTTTAAGATTTTGGCACAGCTCTCAAAAAAACTTACTTTTGTCCATTGCAGAGCTTCCTCCACGACCTTTACTTGAAAGACTAGCCAAGGAACTCCGTCGTCGACTGGTAACCTTTCATTTTGATTTATAAATTTCCCTGTGAACTGTGATGTACATGTTAAAGTCTGAATTATTTTAATACATTTTCCTTTTTATATTTGTTTTTGCAGGGACTGAGGCTATTCAATTTAGATATAATCCGGGAGCATGGAGCCAGAGATCATTTCTATGTCATTGACATTAATTACTTCCCTGGTAAATCCAGCTTTATACTACTATATATCATTAAGGTTAAGATCATTTTGACAGGCATCATGATACTAGTCTCTATATGTTTTCATTCATAACCCCTTGAAAACAAACTGATTGGTTTGTAATTGCTTTGAAAAATTATTATTACTGCAGGCTATGGGAAAATGCCAGGGTACGAACACATATTTACGGACTTCCTCTTGAGTCTCGTGCAGAGCCAGTACAAGAAAAGATCCTGTCAATAATATCGAAACCATGCTCTCCAAAGGGCAAGACATATTCTCAGTTAATTGTACACAAGATGAGGCCTTCTACTTGCTTTAGAAGCCCATCATGTAACTCCCGCTGGCTGCTGGAGGTGGTCACCTGTGAATGGACTCCCCACCTCCCAACTTCTGTAATTATATGTGGCTGGAATTTTTACCATTTTCAACCCCGGCTAAAGCATTCATCATGAACAAAAGCTCTTAATTCATCTTTGACCTCGTTCTGGCCGGATTCTTTCATTACACCTTTTTAACTTTGTGCAGATCCTACGTGATACAGACGGTGAAATACAGCACTCATGTTCTGTATACGCTTTCTTTCTCTTCTTGTTTTTTTGTCTTGCATTCAGTAGCCTAAGTTTAAGCTCACCTAATGTAAGTTGCATGCCAAGGATGTAGAATACCTTGTCTTCTTTAGCTTGTTCTCTTCTTCTTTGGTAATTCCAAGTTGTAAACATCTGAACTGTGTCTGTTCCATGTTCCGAGACTGAAGCTCTTGCAATTCTTCTTTAAAAGTATCTATCTTTCTAATAGTTTTAAAGCCAATTATTCATTGTCACATATGATCCATCACTGTGTCTTGCATAGCCAAATGAACCGAAAACGGGAGGAGATTGGTGGCTAGGCAAAGCAACGGTACCCCCCCTCTCTGTGGAACTGGAGGATGAGGAAGTAGGGATACGTTTCATTTCTTCTGATGTTGTTGGGTTAGTTGTGGGTCTACACTCGACAGTAGCAGTAGCACTCATCCCCTTTCTCTCTGGGCTGGACCGTCCGAATTTTGAAAACAAGAATCAGTGAATTGCCTTCTTTTGAAAAAAATAGTCCGTCACTTTTTGGGCCTATTGTTAATGAAAAGATGGAAATCAAATAAACAAAGTTAAAGCCTTTCCACTTGCATTGAATCTATCATCTGTGTGAATAATTATTTTTCAGGACCTAGTCAGTCACTTTTGGGCCTGAAAGTTGGTCTTCTAAAGCTAGAAGAACCAAAAGGTCCAGTGATTAGATTTCGAAATTACCATTATACACTTTCTGTCACTTATGATTGATTGAGTCCTTGGATTGGGCCTTGAGTTTGAAGAGATCCAAATCTTTTCACGACTGTATTCCTAAATGCAAAAAACTTAATCAAGTAATTCTTCTTGTTTCTTTCTTTTCTTGTATATTTGTGATGGAGAGTTTCAAATATGAGATTTCCCAATGATATGTTGTTCTAGGTCGTTGATACTAATTATTTCATATTCAAATGCAAGAGAAAAAAAAAAAAGAATTGATTTGATTTTAAATAAAACCATGTCATGGATGATAAATATATAATTTTTTAAAATAATGACATCTTTACGTATAAGCTATTTTCTAAGTATATTATATTATTTTATGGATGAATAGTGATATAAGAATAATTTTTTTATATAATTTTCACATATCATTTAATGAATAAATACATTTAATATCAGAGGTTCGAAATGAATAAAAAAATTAATTATTTAATTAAAAAATAATATTATATCAAAAAATAATATAAAAAATTATCCCTAAATTATTTTTATTTTATGGATTATAAATATTTATATGTTTATTATGGATGATAAATACATATTTTTTAAAAAATTAATGTGCATCTTCTATATTTAGAAACATAGAGAAAATATACAAATAAGAACATAAATTTTATTTTTTTTTTAAATTTAAAAATATGAACTTTGAGTTTTTAAGTTAGATAATATACTTTTCTTTTTATTTATTTAAAGATGCAACATTACTATTTTTTATTTAAATATACAAATTTTGTTATATTTTAGTTAAAATTGCCTTTCTCAAGGCATTGTTATTTTATAAATTGTTAAATAAAATAAATATAAAATTTGCATTTTTATCTAAAAAATAAAAGATTTTCATTTTTTTTAAACAATTTAACATAAAACAGATCCAACCAACCCCAGAAAAAAAAGATGCACCTATTCAATATAATTAATGTCATTGGATCGGAAAGTCAAGTGTAATAAAAGTTGGTCATTTAATTTAAAAACTCATAAAATTTATGTCTTTCAGTAAAAAAAAGGACAAAATAATAAACAAAAATTAAATTAAAATAAAAATTTGGTGGGCTAGGCTAACAACATAATGACATCATGACGACGTGGGCAGGGACGTGGAGTTGTATTAAAAGCGTTAAACCGCTGAGGGGGCAGAGCAGGGCCGGGGGAAACGAAACCCCGCCCTACCCCGACCCACCTGTCAGCGCCGCACGACACTCTTGCATCACCATCCAGATGTAGCCACAACATTAGCCACAAATCCAGATCAGACTGACCCAGTCCGCGCCATCACCGCACAATTTTCCAATGCCAGCTTCTGGGACCCATTTTGAGTTACTCCTTCTTCTGAGGGTTGGGCTGGGCGACGAAATTTATAATTTAAGAAAAAAATGGTTCAAAGTCGACTTTAATCGTAATCAATTATTTGAGCTTAACTGGATTTTAAATTTTTTATTATTAATTATTTAAATAATTTAATAATAATTTTTAAAAAAAATTTTTAATTTAAATAGTATGATTTGTAAGTTGAATACGGTAAAAGATAAAAGATAATTACTTGTTATTAGATAATTAAAATAAAAAAATTATGAAAAATCAATCTAAATTGATGTTAAATAGTTTGAATTTTTGTTATTAAGTATAAAAATTGAAAAACCAATAACTAGATATAATTGAAATTTTTGACTTAAAAATATCTTATATAAAATTTGTAATGATTTTTAAATTTGTTTTAGATTTTCTTACAACTTTTACATAATTATTTATTTATTTTGATCATTTTTAATTTTTCAATAATTAATAAATTATTTGAAATATATAAATAACTTTTTAATTAAAATTAAAACCGATCCTAATTGTTATTCTTAAAAACACAACTGAAATAAATAAAGCTCATTCTTTTTTATTTGGTTATGGGTTGTTAAAATTTAATAACCAAAAAGTTGCTTAACTAATAATTTGTTTTAGTTGTAACTCAAACCAACCATACCTATCCCGAGTTAGTCCTTTCGTTTAGCATTGGTAAACTTAATTTTTTATTTAATACAATAAAAATATAATAATTAAGTGATCATATTTTATATTTATTTTAATTAATTATTACTTAAACAAATATTTTATTTAATATATATAGTAATTATCTTTTAAAAATAGTGATAAAATTAAAATAAACAAATTATACCATATCATAAACTAGAAAAATATATAACTAAATTTTATGCATCTCGGATTAAAAATTAGATTTAATAAAGTTAAACAAAGATAGTAAATTTATATCACTAAAGATACTAAATATTAGTTATATAATCCATTTATTTTTTACGAAAACAATAAATATATTTGGATAAACTATTTAAATATAACTAATAATTAATAAAATTTAATATTAATAATTAATAATTATTATTTATAATTAAAAATATCTAATTTATTTAATTAAATCTAATAACTAATAATTATTTATGATACTTCAAAATAAACACCCTTACATAATCATTAATTAATCATAAACTATTAATTTTTACTTAAAAAATTACTCAGTAAAGAGTTTTGAATTATGACAAATGACAGAATATTTAGATTATATAAAATAATTATTATTAATTAAAAATTGACATATATTATGATTTATGTATATAAATAAAATTTTTAATTTAATAATTTATCTTAAAAATATTAATTAAAAAAATAAATTTTTACACAAACCTTTTTTCTTTTTATATTATAAGAAATAGCATACCTCTACCTTATTTTTAAGAAATTAAAAAAATTATATTAAAATTAAAATATTATATTTTAAAATATAAATTAATTTTTTATAATATTTTATCAAAATAATATAATTTTTAAATTTTTTTTAAATTTTTTTAGAAATAAATAAATAAGTACTAATATTTTATACAAATTATTATAAAATACATTTACAGTATCATTTATTATTAATTTTTTTTTTTTAAATTTTTTGTGGAGCCTATGACGATGTAGTTGGTCAGGTGGAGTGAGTGATGGCGGGTCTCCCTTACCGTCCTAGCCCCGCTGGCATTAAACGCCAGCCTGTCACTAGCTGTACTCCACCCCCCGCCCCCTCCCTACAAACTCTCTCTATTCTCATCTTCCTTTTCTCACTCAGAGAGAGAAAACCATAAATACCATGTGGATTTTAGATTTTAGAGTTAGGGCGAGGGAAAAACAAACCTAACCCCACCCTCTCTCTTGTCTCCTTTTTTCCGGGTTTTTCCCATTTGCAGAAAAATCAGGACATAGAGAAGATGAATACTACTACATTGTTTGGCGGAATCAGAGTGCTTAATGTACATCCTTGTCTCTCTGCTTCCTTCTCCTCCTTCACCCATGTAACCCTACCCTGTTCTTCCTGCAAAATCCATTTCACACTCTCAGACTAGGTTTTGCTTTTTCTTCTTCTGTTTTTTTTTCAAAAATTAACGAGAAATTTCTTCAAGGGAAGTAGTGATGGATCCTTGCCCTTTCGTCCGCCTGACAGTGGGGAATCTAGCTCTGAAGATTCCTGTGGCGAAGAAGCCGGCGAGTTCCGTTGTTCATCCGTCGTCCTCTCCTTGTTTCTGCAAGATCAAGCTCAAGAGTTTTCCTCTTCAAACCGCTGTTGTTCCCTACATTCCTTCGGAGAACCAGTTCCCCGACAACCAGCTTCAAACCATAGCGGCTACTTTCCACCTAAGCAAGGCCGATCTTGACAGGCTTGCCGCCAAATCGATTTTCGGAGGGAAGCTGTCTCTCAAGATAGCTATCTACACCGGCCGGACAGGCGTGGCCTGCGGTGTTAACTCCGGGCGTTTGTTGGGGAAGGTTTCCGTGCCGTTGAATCTGACCGGAGTGGAGTCCAAGCCTTGTGTTTTCCACAATGGATGGATTTCGGTTGGGAAAGAACCTGCCAAAGGATCCACTGCGCAGTTTTACTTGAACATTAAAGCGGAACCTGATCCACGATTCGTGTTTCAGTTTGACGGCGAGCCAGAGTGCAGTCCTCAAGTGTTTCAAATCCAAGGCAACATTAGGCAGCCGGTTTTCACTTGCAAATTCAGTGTCAGGAACACCGGTGACCGGAATCAGAGATCCAGGTTAGTCTAGTCTATATTTAGTATACTTATACCATATATTTTTAGATTATATTAGATATTATTCGTGCTCTTTTTTCCTTTTTCCGCTCATACGATTTCTTATCTTCACAAACGAATCTCACTTCAACAGAAAATTTGTTGCAAATTGAATTAGTAAATTTGAATGATTTGATGAGTAAAGGGTTGCCTAGCTGTACGGAAAGCTACCGGGTTAACCATATTTTTTTACACTTTAATCCTAGGGTCTACCTTTACTCTTTCCGAAGAAATGCAAAGCTAAAGCAGGAAAATTATTTGCCGAATCGCTTTAAATCCTGCACTGATCCCGTAAAAGAACCTACTACTTCAAGTTTGAATTTGTTATTTATTTATTTATTTATTTATGTGTCTTTTAAATTAACAGATCGTTACCGTCGGTGTCAAGCTCACGAGGTTGGTTAACTTCGTTTGGCAGCGAAAGAGAGCGACCGGGAAAGGAGCGGAAAGGATGGTCAATCACGGTTCACGACTTATCCGGTTCGCCAGTAGCCACCGCTTCGATGGTCACGCCTTTCGTGGCATCACCAGGAACAGATAGGGTGAGCCGCTCCAATCCTGGATCCTGGCTCATTCTCCGCCCTGGAGACGGAACATGGAAGCCGTGGGGCCGGCTTGAGGCCTGGCGAGAGCGTGGATCCTCCGACGGTCTTGGTTACCGTTTCGAGCTCACCTCAGACATGAGCGCCGCCGCAATCGTGTTAGCCGAGTCCACACTGAGTTCAAGCAAGGGCGGAACATTCGTAATCGATCTCGGAGCTGGATCCAACGGGCGCGCCACGCCGGCAAACTCCGCATCTCCGGTGTGCAGCCCGAGAAGCAGTGGTGATTTCGGTTTCGGTCTCTGGCCCTTCTGCGTTTACAGGGGATTCGTGATGTCGGCTCGCGTGGAAGGGGAAGGCAAGTGCAGCAGACCTTGCGTGGAGGTGAGCGTGCAGCACGTGAACTGCACGGAAGATGCAGCTGCTTTCGTGGCACTCGCGGCTGCCGTTGATTTGAGCATGGATGCGTGCAGGCTTTTCTCTCAACGGCTGAGAAAAGAACTCTGTAATCAACAGGATTTACTCGGCTGATTCAGATTCTGTCGGTTTTTTACCCTCGGGTTTAGTCGCTTTTGAGCAACGGATTTTATATTCCGTCCCCAATTGACAGCTTCACCACGGACCCTACTAACCCCCTAAAAAGAAAAAAGCAACAAGCTGTGTACATATAGATTAGACAGGCACGCTTTGTTTTTAGTCGTGTGGCTTGTATTAATTTTTTTTTTTTAATGAAAAAAACGGTGAGATGGTTTTTGGAGATATTGTATTCAGCTGACCTTTTTTTAGAAAAAAAAAAAATTAATAGTTTTCAATTAGACGTAATGATGATGATCAGCTGGCGAGGAATGAATTTCTTTGTTTTTATTTAGTCGTGCGGCTTGTGGTGGTCACTTTAAGCAGTAGACTTTTGAGATGTTAATTAATTTGTGTATTAAAAAATGGAGTAAAGGGCGAATTAGTGGAAGAGAATAATATGCGGACATGATATTACTGACGACTGATTAATTTATTTGTTTGGGAGTTTATTAAGAAGTCAGGGCGCGCGCGTTTGTGTGGGTATTAGCTGTAATCCGCTTTCATTTTTCCTTATAAATAGTGTGTTAGGTAAGTAATGAACCATATGGGAGCTGGCATCATCAAATCGTTGTTTGTTTTTTTACTCGTATCATGACGCAAAGGATTTATTGATGGGGAAAGATAATTCTGAATCCCTCATTTAAAAACCACAATTACATTCTGAGTAAATTAGTTCACCCCTCACAAGTCAGATTCATTTAGCACCTCGCAGCAGTAGCCGTG